AGAGAGAGCGCGAGAGAGAGAGCGAGCGAGAGAGACAGAGAGACAGAGAGAGAGAGAGAGAGAGAGAGAGAGAGAGAGAGATGGAGCGGAGGAAAACCCTGCCCCTCGGCTCAGGACAGAAGGGCGCCCTGCACCCAAATGTCACAGGGTAAATCGTGGGACAATCTGCTCGTGAATCCTTGGTGGAGTCAGCGACACACTGTGCATAGCTGAAAGTCAGAATGGCTCACAAAATAAATATTATAACATAAACAATTAAAATTATGGTCTGGGGCTGGAAATTTTCAGCATGAATTTCCAAGGTCCACGGCAAGTGCAAATTTGTCTGATTCAGAGAAAGGGCCTAGAACTGGAGGAGAGTGGCCAGACACAGCTGCCCTCTTCCTGCCCTGCTCCCCACCCACCTGCAGGGTCCCTGCCTCAGCCGCATCACCCGCTTCCCCGGCAGAATACAATAGACGATCCCACGCCTCAAACTCACCTTCCGCTCAACTCACTTTTTAAAAAGTCGCACTCAGTGCAACTAGGAAAACAGGTGGCTGAGTTCGCATCTAAGGCCCCCCAGATCTGCACAAACAGAAGCTATGCTGTTGTCTACTTACCCACAGGGTGTGCGTCTCAAATCGCCCAGAGGAATGACGTCTGTGATTCGGTGTGCGTCTGAAAGCGTTTTTATATAAAAAGGTGTATATCTTTTTTGTTTGTTTGTTCTACGCCTACAGCACCTGGTCTTCCTAGGTGGTCTCCCATCCAAGTACTAACCAGGCCTGACCCTGCTTAGCTTCCGAGATCAGACGGGATCGGGCGTGTTCAGGGTGGCGTGGCCGTAGACTGAAAGGTGTATCTCTTAATGAAATAAAATATATAACATGATACTCTGGCTTTTTCACAATTTAACGATCACGTTTTGAGTGCCTCAGTGTGTTGGTCAGGGACGGTTTCATCACAGCCTCACACTGTCCCATGAGAACTGGTCAGCACTCTCCCCGCTGGCTTCCGGGTGTCCCCAGCTCACTGCTCTTATCAATACCGAAGACGCGCAAGTCCAGGCTGGCGGTCCTGGCTGCCTTTCCGCTTGTTCCCTTGGCACAGGTCACAGTCTCATCAAAGAGCATGAACATCTGATGCTCAGGACACACCTCCAGACGCCCCAGGTGCTCACGGGGCTGTCTGGTGACAGGTGACACTCATGCTGCGCCATAGGCCAGCACCAGGCCAGCTGTGCTGTAACCCTGACCACACCCACTCCGGGGGGCGTCTAAACTGCACTGTCCTGTAACCACGACGATGTGCCAAGCGCGCCGCACGTTAACGAGGAGTGTGGGCGAGCCCACACCACCAGTGGACTCGTGCAAACCTCCAGACCACTGCGTGGCTGGGTTCTCACATGCGTTTTACTGGAATTAGTGTAGCCTCTGGCCCCATCCCGTCAGAGAGCCTGCTCCTTCAGGGCCTGCGAAGGCCACTCCAGAGTGATGGTCACTGTCCTTACTGAATACCATCAGCCAGGCGAACGGCGCTCATGACCCCCAGGCATGAGGCGAGACCCAGCGAGTTCGGTCATAAACAGTGGGACGTGGTCTGTGCCCATCACACAATGGGCAGCTTCTGAAACACGGCACAGGGACCACGCACACGCAGTCGTGCCCGCGAACGGTCCTGCGGGCGGACGGGAGTCTGTGGCCCAAGGCCGACCCCGCAGAACCTGGCGACTTCCAGCAGTCCACACGTCTTTCCCGAATCCTTGCAAAGTTCTCGCTTGCGAAGTGAGGGTGCCAATGGGCACTGAGCCGCGGGAGGGTCCGTCGGGGGCTGAGGAGGGGCTGGGGGTGTGGCCAGCCCGGCACCGGGTTCCGCCCCTCCAGCTCCACAGCTGGGCCACCTGTCAGCTGCAGTGACTGCAGAATGTGTCATCAGTGGGGACTGGGGCTGAAGGGGACATGGATGTCTCTGCAACTTTCTGAATTCTCAAAACAAAAAGGTTTTAGAAGCTTGTCATTGTGCCTGGTACACGGGAATCCAGACCATCACCTGCTACCAGATCACCACCTCCCAGACGAGGCTGGCAAGCTGCTGCCACACACAGCCCCGCACCCCCCACCAGTCCGCGCTAAGCCTCGCTGTTTCCTTCACGTGACTGTCACCGCCACCCGCCGGGGCACAGGTGGCACCGGGTGGAGGATGGGCACCATGGCCGTGGCCTCCGCGGGCCGCCGGGGGCTCGGATGGTCTGTGGTCACACAGCAGCGTGGCTCCAGCTTTGCTGTTTGCCAGGGAGTTCGCTGGCCCTGCTGCCCTCGCTGGGGGACGCCGCGTGTCACAGCACAAGTGAAGCGAGTCACCTCTTCGCTCTGCGCTGTGTGTGGATGAGGCCTCCCCGGGCGGAAAAAGATGCCCCCGCACTCCCGGTCTGAATCACCTGCCCCGGGCTGCTGCAGACCGCCCATTTCCCACGAGAAAGCCTCATTGTTTACCGAGCTCTGTGTGTCCTTCACATAGGAAAGCTGTGAAGAGTTTTTCTCAAGCTTCCTTCCAGCACCGAGGCCACCCACACGCTGACCCAAAGCACAGGAGAAATCGGGTTTCCTCGGCCAAGGTCCACGCTGTCGGGCTCGCGGTCAGCCGCTCCCTCCGGCCACTCGGGGACGGGCTTTCTGTCCGTCTGGCCACCACTGACCACCATGTGTCCGAGTCCAGCCCAGGAAGAGTCCGGCCTTTCTGAAGCGTGGAGGGCCCCGCACTTGGCACCTCGCTCCCAGCAGTGACACAGGGGGACGAGGGGGAGGGCGTCCGTTCTCACGGCTGCCCCGTGCAGGCCGGACGCAGACCTCGGCGGTCTCCGAGGGTGGAGCCCAACATCGCCGTTCACAGCGACGCCCCTCTGCCTTTCTGCCACTCAGGGGACCCCAGAAGCGCAGCTGTAACCACGAGGGCCCCGCACTTGGCACCTCGCTCCCAGCAGTGACACAGGGGGACGAGGGGGAGGGC